AATCACAAATAAGACATTTAAATTATTAAAAATCTTGTGATTTTTAATAATTTATATTTTTAAAAAATAAAAACATAAAATTTAACTAACATCAACCCAAATTAACAGGATAGAATAATAGATTGAGACACAAAGTAGTGAAACACAATTGATTAATACATCTTACTTGTATTTAAACTTAAATTGATGGCAAAAATTAATTAAAAATTTATCAACTAAAAGAGCAAAAAATGAAAAAAGGAGGAAGATTGTAGTACTCATACCTTTCTTAACTCAAAATTCCCAAAAACAACTAAATTAACGCCACAGCAAGTAGCAGCAACTCTTAATTAGTCTTTGGTTTCACCCAAAGAATTATCGAAAAACTGTTAAAAAAATTGCATAAGTATGAAGAAGTGGAGTTTGTGAGAAAGTTGAAAATATATACTTCTCTCAGCTACAAAGAAAATAAAAAATGTATTAGAAAGAGGGGAATCTGATTTCAAATCTATAAATCACCATCATCACAAAATTGAAAATTTTCGGCAAATCAGAACTTTTGACCAAAACAGTGGAGGGAAAAAATTTTACCAGTTATTTCGGTCAAATAGATTGACTGAACAAATCAAACTGACAACCGTACCTGCTTTACACAAGGCTGGTGTTGATTTTTTCTCTGATTTATTTGGTCAACAATTTTGACCGAAATAATATTGGCAATAATAACGCACTCACGAAACGACTGAAATTGGTCGATTATTGGTCATTTTATTTCGGTCAATAAACTTGACCGAAATATATCTCCATTGATACTTCAGAAGAGGATGGCTGGTGGTACTGTACATATTATTTCGGTCAAGTACATTGACCGAAATAAGTTGACATTGTGTGCTCCCCTGAAATTGTGAAATGGAGGGTCTGCTAGTGGCCAACTTATTTCGGTCAATTTACTTGACTGAAATAAATGGACATGTGTCCTCTGACCCTCCACTAAAATTGTGCAATGGGGGGATGGTTGCAATGGCCAACATATTTTGGTCAATGAAGTTGACCAAAATAATTGCCCTAGTTCGGTCAATTAATTTGACCAAAATAAGTCATTGATTTTTTCCCTACTTCTTCTCACAATTTGACCAAATAATTATTATGACAAATAATTTAATTTCTTTGTTTCAAATAGGTTAATTTATCCCCTAATTGTTATTATATTTCCTACTTTTTGACGTTTCCTTTTTTTTTTAGTTAATTTGTTTCAAACTTTTTTTATCTAAATTATATAAATAAATAAATTAAAAATTGAGGGATAAAATTTGTGTATATATTATAAATAGAGAGATTAAAAATTTGTATATTTAGATAGACTTAATAGATTAATTAATAAAAAGACTAAAAAATACATTTTTTTATAGTTAATGGACAAAAAAAAATATAAAAAATTGAGAAACAAAAATTATGTAAAATTTTAAAATTGAGGGATTAAGATTGCCATTTAACACAATGTAAATGAAAACGGGTAACAATTTTTTTAATAACTCTTGCATATAATTTTCAATACTAATACCATATAGAACAATTTAATTAGATATTTAATAAAATTTAAGTCAATTAGTATTTTTTTTCATGTAAATTAATGGTGAAAATGGACAATAAATCACCCTTAATTTGTTTTCTAATAAGGATACATATTAAAAAATTTCAAAATAAAAAAGTAATAATTTGTTTAAGACGAGTTTTAACAATATTGACAACAAAAAAATATAGACTTATATAATAATATTAAACTACTTTTGTTTTTATTTATTTAATAATTTTCAAAATATGTTCCGAAAACACATAAAAGTAAATATGTTTAAGCTTTATTTAGAGTTATTAAATTCATAAAAACTAAAACAAAAAATAAAAAATTATAATCATATACTTAACAAAATCTTAGTTGAGCCGGTGAATTTGACACTAATAATTTGATTATTCAAATAAAACTTATCGATAACCTTGCTAATAATGGACTCAAATAAAATTTGTTGAATTTGATTTTACCTAGATTAAACCAAAGCAAAAAACCCAAAAAAAAAAAAAAGAAAAAAAAAGAAAGAGAAGAAAAGTTCAAAATATCAATTGATTAGTTATAATTGATTACGCTCAAAGCAAGACGTAATATGAAACGGTGGTTTACAAAGTTCGATATATTAATAATTTGTATCTACTTTTTTTCTCATCTTATATACTTCAACAAAAACTTAGGCAAATCAAGACTAAAGATATAGATATTATACTTACCGGTTTAACAAATGAAATTGAAGAAATTAAGGATGATGACCAGATTAAACCAAGTAAATTACAAGCACTAGTAGATCTGCTTAATTGCAACCCTATTCCTTGGTAAAGAATGAGACTGACCAATATTTCCTGAAAGTAGAACATGATGCAAATACAATCAATAAAAGAATAACTCAAAAGATTTGTTAAGTAATTGCAAATTAATTAGGTAAAAAGAAATCTGAAGATAAAAAAAATCTAACAATTTATTAAGATACAATTTAAAACTGGAGAATCAAACAAAAATATTGAAAAAAAGATCACTCATCCAAAGAAAATTAGATAATTTTTATTTAATATGTACTTTAAAGATAACATAAACGTTTAGAATCAAGATTTAATATCTTGATTGATAGTATACCTGCAAGTTCAATGGAAGAAATTGAAGAAAGTGAACACTGATAATTGAAATAATTAGGCAAAGCAAATTGGAAGCAACTGCAGATCTACTCACTCAATTGCAAGCCAAATTGTGTCTGATAATAAGAAAAGGTGAGACAGCAAAGGAAAAGGGCAACCTTTAAAGAAGGGATTTAGCTGG